CCCCCCCCCCCTTCCCCCCCCTTCCCCCAGCCATGGCTGCTTCTCTCGGCGGTTTCGTTCTCGCTGTCCCTTCGGGTGACACCCTTGTGATCTCGGCCAAGGTGCCCAAGGGCATCCCGCCGCGCAAGAAGATCAAGCTGTCCAACGTGACGGCGCCGCAGCTCGGCTGGCGCGACCGTGCCGACGAGCCGTTTGCCTGGAAGGCCCGCGAGGCGCTTCGGAGCAAGGCTGTGGGCAAGTCGGTCACGTTCCGCATCGACAACGACCCGGGCACCGGCCGCGCCTTTGGCGAGGTCTGGCTCGACGGCGAGCGGCTCTCCGAGTTTGTGGTCTCGTCCGGATACGGCAAGGTCCGCGACGTGCGCAAGGCCGAGGACGAGGACCACGTCAACCTCAAGGCTGCCGAGCAGGCTGCGCAGTCGGCGCGCCGCGGCATGTGGACGACGGACGAGGCCGCCAAGGCCGCTGCCGTCCGCACTGTCGTCTCGCAGCGTGAGAACGACCACCTGGCACTCTTTGAGCGCATCGGCGGCAAGCCCGTCGACGCCATCGTTGAGTCGGTCCGCGACGGCTCCTCGCTCCGCCTCCTCCTCCTCCCGACCTTTGAGTCGGTCACGCTCCTCCTCTGCGGCGTCCGCACCCCGGGCTTCCACAAGGACAAGGAGTCGGGCGAGATGAAGGCCGACCCGTTTGCCGCCGAGGCTCAGTTCTTTGTCGAGGCCCGCATGCTCAACCGCCAGCTCCAGGTCGTCCTCGAGGTTCCTGACGAGCGCGGCAACTTTTTCGGCACCGTCCTCCACCCGCGCGGCAACATCGCCGTCGCCCTCCTCAAGGAGGGCCTCGGCAAGTACGTCGACTGGTCGGCAGCCCACGTCGACTACGCCGGCGACCTCCGTGCTGCCCAGGACGAGGCCCGCGGCAAGCGCCTCCGCCTCTGGGCCAACTGGACCCCGCCCAAGCGCTCCGTCGACGCCACCGCCAACGAGTTCACCGGCCGCGTCATGGAGGTCATGTCCGGCGACGCCCTCGTTGTCCTCAACACGGCCACCGGGACCGAGATGACCATCTTCCTCGCCTCGGTCCGCGCCCCGCGCTTCCGCCGCTCCGGCAAGTCCGAGCCGTTTGCCTATGAGGCCCGCGAGACGCTCCGCAAGCTCACTATTGGTAAGAACGCCAACGTTGTGCTCGAGTATGTCCGCCAGCCCGCGCCCGACGCCGCCAACCAGAAGCCGCGCACCTTTGCCACCGTCACCGTCAACGGCAAGAACGTCGCCGCCCGCCTCATCAAGGACGGCCTCGCCACCTGCGTCCGCCATCGCGACGACGACGAGCGCTCCCACCACTACGACGCCCTCATGGCCGCTGAGGTCGCCGCCAAGAAGGCCGGCCGTGGCCAGCACTCGACCACCAAGAAGGCCGGCGCCCCACACATCCGCGGCGATGCCTCTGGCGACGCCGCCAAGGGCCAGATCATCGTCGACTCGCTCAAGGGCCGCGGCTCGGTCGTCGGTGTCGTCGAGCACGTCCTCAACGGCGCCCGCTTCAAGATCTACCTCCCGTCCGAGGGCGTCGTCGTCCCCTTTGCCCTCGCCCACGTCCGCGCCCCGCGCCACGACTCGCGTGCCGAGAACGGTGGTGAGCCGTTTGGCCTCGAGTCGGCCCTCTTTGCCCGCCGCACCCTCCTCCACCGCGACGTCAAGCTCGAGATCGAGACCTGCGACAAGCGCGGGACCACCATCGGTAACCTGTTCATCAACAAGAAGAACTTTGCCGTCTCGCTCCTCACCGACGGCCTCGCCTACATCTCGGGCCACCGCTGGGCCGAGCGCTCGCCGTACTACGAGTCGATGGCCGAGGTCGAGGCCGCCGCCAAGGCTGCCAAGCGCGGCTACTGGGCCACCTACGTCGAGCCCAAGCCCGAGCTCCCGGCCGCCGGCGACGACGACGCAGACGACGCCGCCGCTTCGTCCAAGGGCCCCAAGTACTACGACGTCGTCCTCACCGAGATCATCGACGCCTGCAACTTTTACCTTCAGCTCACCGGCAAGGCCGCGGAGACTCTCGAGGCCTTTATGGCCGACTTTGCCGCCTACCACGCCTCGTACGCTGGCCCGGGCTCCGAGGGCCTGCCCAAGAAGCTCAAGGCCGGCGTCTTTGTCGCCGCTAAGTTCTCACTCGACTCGTGCTGGTACCGCGCCAAGATTGTCGAGAAGCACGACGACGAGACCGTCACCGTCCTCTTTGTCGACTACGGCAACTCGGAGCGCGTCGCCCTCGCCGACCTCCGCCCCATCACCGACGCCCAGCTCGAGCTCGCCCCGCAAGCCCACAAGGCCTCCATGGCCCTCCTCCTCTCCGCCACCGACGAGGACCTCAAGGCCGAGGCCGACGACCGCTTCAAGGGCGCATTCCTTGGCGCCACCCTCCGCGCCCGCGTCGAGTACAAGGAGCGCGGCTCGTCCGACTGGTTCGTCACCCTCTACCAGGCCGCGCCCGTCGACGCCGACGCCGCTGACGCAGAGCCCGAGTACGTCGACATTGCCGCCGACATGCTCCGCTCCGGCCTTGTGCGCGTCAACCGCAAGGCCGCCACCAAGGGCCCAAAGAAGGCCCTCCTTGCCCGCCTCGCTCCCTTTGAGGAGGACGCCCAGGAGGACCGCCTCGGCATGTGGACCTACGGCATCATCGACTACGACGAGGAGGACGCCTAGAGCGAGCCGGCCTGAACCGACTAGCCCCCTCCCCACTCCCCCCGCCCTCCAGCCATCACCGCCATGTGTCCATCATCATCAATAACAACAACGACCCCGCCCCCTACCGTTTACCTCTGTCCCCTCACCGCCATACCGCCAGTCACCGTCCGGGCGTCGATGCCGGCGGACCGCAGGAGGCACGTCGCGACGTGCGCCCGTCGCCCGACGGCACACACCACGCCCACAACCTGATCTCCAACACCAGCCAGCACGCCTGCCTCATCAGCAAGCACAGATCGGAGCTCGTGGAGCGGAACGTGGATGGCGCCGTTCAGCGGCGCGTCCACCACCTCATCGGCACCGCGGACGTCGAGAACGAGGTCGACGCCATCGGGCAGTGCTCCGCCCTCACCCCACCTCACCAGCGGATCGATGCCATCGAGGTCGTTGACCGCCACCATACCCACCATGTTGACAATGTCGCGGGCAGCGCCAAAGGCTGGGGCATACGCCAGCTCGAGATCGACGAGATCGTACACTGAGCCGCGCGCGTGCATGGCGGTGGCGATGACGTCGATGCGGCGCTCCACCCCGTGCTCGCCCACAGCCTGCGCCCCAAGAATCCGCCCGTCTGCCCTCGAGTACAGCAGCTTGAAGACAACCGTCTTGGCACCCGGGTAGTAGCCGACGTGGTGGCCGGCAACTACATAGGCTGCGGCATAGTCCATGCCAGCAGCGTCTAGCGCACGCGCCGACGCTCCAACACCGGCTGCCACAAAGCCGAACGCGCCACAGACCCAGGTGGCGAGCACGCCGCGCGAAAGCGGCGCCGATCCGGGCATGCGCGCGCCGGTCCTGACCGCCAACGTCGGCGCGGCGCGCCCGGCACCGACAATGGTGTCGGCCACAATCCGCCCAGCCCGGTTGGCCGGCCCGGCCAGCGCCAGCGACATCGGCCGACCGGTAACCCGGTCCGCGGTCTCCACCACATCGCCTACCGCAAACACCCGCGGATCCGAGGTCCGGAACGACGCGTCGACCGCAATGGCGCCACGCGCGCCGAGCGCAATGCCAGCGTCCCGGGCCAGACCCGACTCGGCCTTCACCCCCACCGCCACTACCACCAGATCGCACGGGTACGCCTCGTGACCGGCGGTCAGAATCTCCAGCGGATGGCCCGAGGTCCGGCTGCGGAAGCCGATGACGCCGTCACCGACCGCCACAAACAGCGCGTCGCCGCTCCCGCCCTCGATCCGTGTTTGCAGTGCATCCGCCATCTCACGGTCCATCGGCGGCATGATCTGCGGCGCGTACTCGAGAAGCACCACGTCGACACCCGACGCAACTAGCGCGTCTGCAAGCTCGAGGCCGATAAAGCCGGCACCGACTATGCCGGTGCGGACTCTGCGAGAGCCGCCGATCGCCGCTTCGGCGCCCGCGATCCACTCCCGAATGACTCGCGCGTGCGGGATCGACCGCAGCGTAAACACTCCCGGCAGATCCACGCCCGGCCACGGCGGGATCACTGCAGCCGCCCCCGTCGCCAGCACCAGGTAGTCGTACGTGAGCTCCTCCGTCACCAAGCTGCCGTCGGCGTCCAGTGTCTGGATTGCCACGCTCTGATCCTCGACGTTGACCCGCACAGCCTCGGTCTCCACCCTCACGTTGATGCCGAACCGATCGCGAAGGAGCTCGGGCGTCGCCACCCGCAGCGACGTCTCGTCCGGAATGATTTTGCCCACGTGGTACGGCAGGCCGCAGGTGGCAAACGAAATATATGGCCCTGCCGAGGAGTGTAGGAGTGAGGCAGTGAGTGATAAAATTTTTATACCGTCGCCTCCCCCACCACCGACCACCCGCACATCCTCTCGAAACTGCGTCAATGGGTCAGATTGGGACGAGACTCCGCGCGCCCAACGTTTGCTACCGCCACCAAGCCGTAGCTACTGATGCGTACCCCTCTCGACCATGGTGATCTGCGCACCCTCGCACATCCTCCGCAAGCGGGTGGCGCACGATGCTCCGCCTGCCACGCCGCCTACGATGACCACACGCGGCGCCTTGAGCGCACAGCTGCTGGTTGTCTCATCCGCCATCACGACGATCTATCAAGTCAAGTGGGAGCTCGCAATCTCGCGCCGCCGTCTTGCCATGCCTATCAACGTACGTGGTGCGTTTTCGTAGACGTTTTCTTTCTGGCTCCGCCCTCCCACGTATGCTCTTCCAGCTCCGCCTCTCTCGCCATCGATCTCCGAGCCCGACGACGAGGCCCGCTCCTACTCCATACTCCCCACAGAACAGGAACTTGTGCAACCTGCTGGCCGACGTCTTTGACTCGGGGCGTTGTGTCCCGCAAGCGTTGCGCGCACCTCAAAGCTGCTTCGTCAGTGCAGCGCCACGCAGAACTCGCCGCGGCCCACACGCATCGCGCAGCGGACGGTGAACATACTCTGCATCGCGTCAAGTCCACTATGGCACCTGACAAAGTACCCTGCGTTCTGTGCGTTTAGGAGATAGCACTACGTCTCGTTGACGGTGAGAACCAGAGCGACGCCGCGAAGGATCCAGTGCCGGGCCGAGCCATCGCGAACAGGTAGGCTGACCGACATGACGTAGTTTGAAGAGAGACCGGTGGTGGAGAGCCGGCCCTTGCGGAGCGAGGTGCAGTAGACCGGGCAGTCGTAGCGGTTAGTGTGGGCCTTGGCCACCGCAGGCTTGACAACCGGCCGGAGCCAGAGCGACGGCATGCGTGAGGCGGCCTTGCCCGACTGCGACTCGGTGAGCACGTTGCCGACGTCGTCCCAGCGCGCGCCCTCGAGCCAGAGGCCGTGGACAACAACGCCCTCGTCGGGCGTGCCCATCGAGCCGTCGACGACGCGGACGTCAAACTCGAGCTCGTCGATGGCGTGCCCAGAGACCCGCACGTGGTGCTGAAGAACGCCCGAGAGGAAGCCCTGCGGAAAGGTGAACGCTGGGAGCCAGAACGAGCTCGGCGTCTTGCCCGACTCGAGCCAGTCGCGGAAGAACGCGACCCGCGCCGAAAGGTCGGCAAAGAAGCCGAAGAGCGGCAGCGTCGACGAGTACGGGCACGACTCGAGCCAGGCCTGCGGGACCCGGCCGTCGCGGAGCGCGATGAAGATGTCCTCCAGCTCGTCGTCAAACACGACCCGGCCCGAGACCGCATCCTGGACACGCACCAGCTTGGCCCGCACATCGCCCACAAACCGCGACAGTCGTGCAGCTTCCTGCGCGAGGACCACCGAGAGCGCCGGCACCCGGTTCTGTCCGGGCACCGAAAACAGCGGCGAGTCGCGGTCGATGACAAGCTCGCTCGGAAGCCCACCCTCGAGCTCGGCCGCGATCTCCTTGACCACGTCCTGGTCCGACGGCGGCTTGGGCGAAGGGTCGGCTAGATCTTCGGCGTCATCGGCGTCGGCGTTTGGTGCCTCGGCACCCGCACCGCCCTCGGCCGGCGGCTTGGGCGAAGGGTCGTCGTCGCCGGCCACTTGTCGCGGCTGGACAGCAGCAATGTCTGCCAGCAGCCGCAACGACTCGGCGCGGGCGCGGGTGAGCACCGAGTTCTCGTGCAAGCCGACGGTCTCGGCGTCCTTGGCCGAGTCCCAGTGACTCTCCACGTGGGCCTTGACCGCCGCCAGCCGCGGCGCAGGCGACTTGGTGGAGAAGACCACCGACTCGATGAGGGTCTGCACCAGCCGCCGGTCGAGATCGTCGGTCACCCGCCCGCCAAGCACAATGTCGCCGAGGAGGTAGGTGAGTGCGTCGCGCGGGACAACGCCCGCCTCCTCGTCGAGGAACGACCGAACCACCTTGAACGCCGTCCGTAGATCAGGCGATGACCAGCCGTACGAGATGTTGAACCCAAGCGGGCCGTACTCCTTCCGCTCCAGCAGGATGGCGTAGACAGACGAGACGGCGTACGACAGGTTGCGCCAAGTCGGCGAGCCGCTGTCAAACTCTTCCTCGTCAAGCTCACCCAGCGCCGCGAGCAGGTTCGCCTTGATCCCGCGCGGCGGGTCAAACGTGATCTTGAGCGACGATTGGAGGACAGGCACAGGAAACGCGCCCGACGGCAGCGACGAGAGCCACAGCCGAAACCGCGGGTGGACCTCGATCTCACCCACCACCCCGCTGGCAAGTTCGTTGACAAGCCGCTCCAGCTCGGGCATCCACGAGCTTGCCAGATGGCAGTTCTGCAGGAACACCCACCCGCCGCTCTCGGCCGCGCGCGCAATGAGATCCTCGGCAATCGGGCCCTGACCCTTGCCTAGCGACAGGTCGTACAGCTCGTCCTCATCCCGCGCTCGGCTGCAAGCCGCATCAGCGCCGCTGATGGATCGGCGCCCGGCGTGAGGAGGAAGAGCACAGGCACCGCCGACGACGACTCGTCCGCGACTTCCGACAGCGCAAACGCAGGCGCGCCAGCAAACTCGGCGCCGAGCGTCGACGAGACAAAGCTTGCCATGCCGCGCGCGAGCGCGTCCGGCCGGAACACGCGGAGTACAAGCAGCTTCTGGAATGCGTTGAGCGGCATACTGACAGGCACCGGCGCACGCATGGGATCCGGAGAATGCACAAACGACTCCCACGCCGCAAGCTCGCCGGCCACTTGCTCCGAAAAGCCGGCAAAGTTCGCCACAGACTGCTCGAGCTCAGACACAAGCGCCCACATTTTGGCCGTCAGCCACGCCGGGACCAGCCCATTGGGCGCGCGCGGCATGGCAGGCAACTTGTCCATCTCGCGTGCTCCGGCCCGGAGCAGAAAGTTGAGCTCGTCGCCCCGGATTGCGCCCGCGTGCACAAGCACCTTGACCGCAATCAGCGACGAGAACAGGAGCTTGTGCTCAACAAACAGGCCACGCGAGACGTTGACAAAGACCGATGACGTGATCGCACCCAGCAGCGCAGTGAGGCGAGTCTCCAGCGCCTGGGTCTCGCCCTCGCCACCCTCGGCGCCCTCGCCATCTGCAGGCGTCACCGTTGCCCGAATGGCAGCCAAGAACATGCGCTCCTTGAACAGCGAGAGCGCATAGTCGTACATCGACTCGACCTTGCTCAGGTCGACGAGGACAAAGAAGAGGACGGCGCCACGGACGGCGACCGAGCGGTACTGGTCGCGGGCAAGCTCGACCTCCTTCTCGACCCGCTCCGACTCGATGACTCGCGCGGCGATCGAGGTTGCCGACGCCTTGGCCGCTTGCAGCGTGTTGACAAGGACCTCGTCCTCCAGCACGCCCTCGGCGTTGGCCAGCAGCCGCAGGATGTTGTTCTCGATATCTTCCAGCTCCGCCTTGTCGGCAGCGAGCGAGACAATAAGGTCGACTCGCTTCGCCTCCAGCTCCGGCGCCTCGAGCGAGACGACATCGCCGAGCAGCTGATCCTCAAGACCCGAGAGGGTGACCGTAAAGTTGATGAGCGCAACCTTGATGCACACTTCGGGCAGGTAGTGCGGGTTAGACAGCTTGGTCGTCATGTACAGACGGAAGCCAGGATCGTAGTCAACCTCGGCATCGCCGACCTTGACAAGCACCCGCGGGCCCTGGTGGGTAAACTGCTTGAGGAGCAACGAGTCGAGCGCAGGATCCAGTTCCTCGCCAACATCCTCAATGAGGACTGGTAGCCCTTGTCGGACCGCAGTCTCCAGAGACCGTAGCAGGTCCGGCTCGCCGAGCTTGACCACCACCAGTCCCGACTCTTCCTCCATTGACCGCACCCACTTGTTCGCCTGGCCCTGCGGATCAATCATGAGCGGGAAGGCCCCGCTCAGTGTCGCCAGCACGGCATTCTGCGCCGAGAACTCGTCGGTCGGCAGACCCTGGAGGTTCCAGTTCCGGATCGTAACCGGCTTGGCGAGAATTGACGTTAGCGTGAGGTGCGCGTATGACGCAGGCTCCTCGACAGTCGCCTCAACCTCGGAAGTCGCCTCGACGTCAGCGTCAGCGTCAACGCCGGCGTCAGCGTCAGCGTCAGCGTCAGCGTCGTCTCCGCCTTCGCTTCCACTCCCAGTCTTGGCACCCTCGCCTTCGGCCTCAGCATCCTGAGCCTCGGGCTCGACACCAGCCTCGACCGCGAGCCGAGGCGGCGCGCGGAGCTTGAGTCCCGACGCCCGGACAAAGCCGAGCCACTGGTCCCACAGCTTGGCGCGCCACTCTTGGGTGAACGGGCCAAAGTAGGCGAGGCCGGCTGATGCGAGAAAGACGTCACCGACGAGCGACGAGGCTTCCTCACGAACACGCTCAAGCGACTCCTCCCAACGGACGGCCTCACCGGCGAGCTCGTTGACCAGCTTGCCGGCGCGCTCGAGCTTGACACGGGTCTCGCCCATGACGCGCTCGACCTCCTCCAGCTCGTTGAGCGTGGCTTGGTACTGGTCGCGCAGAGTGGCAAGCTCGTCCTCCACCTGGGCCAGCTTGGCCTGCTTCTCCTGCAGCTTGGCCATCATCTCGGCAAGCTTCTCCTGGGCGGCGTCACGGAGGACGCGCTTCGGCTCGACCTCGGCGTAGACCTTGACGTACTCGGAGACGGCCTTGACCCAGAGGACAAGGGTGGAGCAAGCCATGGAGCCCTTGGACTTGATGTACTCTTCGTCAAACTCGGGGTCATTGAGATACTTTTTGAGGCGACCAAGAACAGCCGGCGGGAGGGTGGTCTTGTCGAGTTCGCGGAGCGAGCGCAGAAAGTGCGGCTCGCCGAGCAGCCGCTTGGCGTCGGGCCACGTCGGGTTGGTCGAGCCGAGAGTAATGAGGACGGCGTTCATGACCTTGATGACCGCCGGCGACGGGTTGGCGTACGACTTGACCTCGGAAATGTCGGCCGGGTTGAGCACCTCGAGCGCATCCTCGGCGGCATCCATCATGGGCTGGACCTTGGAGAGGTCGCGCTCGGCATCCTCAAAGGCCATCTTGGTCAGCAGCGTCTGCTCGTTGACCTCGACCTCTTCGGCGGCGACGCGGCGGCGGATGCCATCGGCCACCTCGGACTCCTGCGCCACCTTTTCCATGAGTGCCTGCGTGGCGGCAGCCTTCTCTTCGAGCTCGGGCTGCATCTGCTGAAGAGTGATCTGCATTTCAGCCACCAGCTCGTTGGTCTCGCGGAGCTTGGCCGTTCCGCCGGCAAACTTGGCCATGGCCGCACCGAGCTCAGCCTGCTGGCGCGCGAGCATGGCGCCGTACGTGTCGAGGAAGGCGAGGTACGATGCCGGTGTGACGTAGAAGCGGCGACCCATCTGGGCATAAAAGGCGTCTGCGGCGGCCTCGACCGAGGCGTGGACCGAGACGCAGAGCTTGGCAAGGGTGGCAGCAAGGCCCGGTGCGGCACCGACAACTGAGGCGGCCGCCGGCGTGAGGCGGTGCTGGCCGACCCGCTCGAGAGCAAAGCCGGACCAGACGTCGACCCAGTCAATGGTGCAGCACGAGACAAGCGAGGGGAACATGAGGAGGCGGCGGCGGAACTGCTTGCCGATCGGCGACATGCAGAGGACGACGTGAAGCTTCTCGCGGACTTGCTTGATGAAGTACTCGAAAATGCCTGCGCGGTCCTTCTCGGCAATGCGACCCTCGGAGACGGCAAAGGGCCGGACCTTGTTGATGACCGTCTCATATTCCTCGCCAACAAAGAGTGACGGGACTTCACCGGTGTTGAGCACACCGTTAATGTCCTCGAGGAAGGCCTCGTCCACAATCTGGGTGTCGTTGAGGAGGAAGACCACGTTTTCGCGGGCAACGCCGGCGAGGGTGTACAGCTGGCGGAGATCCTCGCGAAAGTCGGAGCGTGCATACGAGCGAGTGAGCTTGATCTCAAAGACCTGGTACTCGGCCATGGCAGCTGCGAGGCGAGTGAGCGTCCGCTTGCCGGTACCAGAGACGCCGACAAGTAGAGCGTTCCCACGCGGCTGGCGGAGGATGCGCGCAATGCGCGAGACGTGGTCGATGGCGTCCTTGAAAAAGACGAGCTCGACCGAGGCCTCGCCCGAGTCCATGTTGGCGCGGTCGAGGTACTCTTCAAGCGTGCGGACAACCTTGGCCGAGCCGGCGCCGCCGGCGACGCCCTCATACACGCGCTCTTCGGGCGTGGCGCCGACGCGCATAAAGTCGCCAAACATAAGCGAGGCCACGGCGTTTGTCTCCCAGCGGAGGCCAAAGTGGCGGCGGATGAGGGCGACAACCAGGTCAAGGAAAGCATCGCGGTCCTCGACACAAGTGAGGCGGTCGTGGAAAACGCGCATTGACTCGTGGGCCCAGAGTGAGACGAGCTCGGGTGCGTCGGCGAGATAGCCCGGCTTGGTCTGGAGCACACCCTGGACAACCTTGGACAGGTCGCGGAGGTTAAAGGTGTAGTGCGACTTGCTCGGGGTCGGCAGCATTTCTGCGCGGACCCGCGAGTAGAGCTCGACCGAGGCCTTGACAACCTTGGCAGCCGAGGCGGCGACCTCGGACGGGAACTGGCCCAGGAAGCCCGAGAGGATCGAGTGGAAGATGCGGAAGAGCGAGTCGACGTCTGTGGGCGGGACGTTGAGCATGAAAAAGTGCCGCTTGAAGCGCTCAGACATGGGGTTACGCCCGCCGCCGGGCGGTCCGCACGAGCCGACAAGTGTCACGTCCTCGACACGCTTCCAGAACAGCGCCGGGCGGTCGTACCACCCGCCGTAGTCGAGGTACTGGCGGAGGAGCTCGATGGCTGGCTGCGAGTCGGAGACCGGGTCGACAGCCGGCATGTTGATGTCGTCGACAAACAGGACGACGCGCTTGCCGTTCATGCCGCGGAGCACATCCTTGGCGCGGCGCTTCTCGAGCTTGTTCTCGATCATCAGCTGGGTCCGCTGCGACGAGGTCTGCGCCGAAAAGTTGATGGCGATTGTTTGCCACGAGGCGCCGATCCTGCCCATGCCCCCGTTGCCGCCCGAGGCGAGGGCAGCCGACGACGGGCCGGTCGCGAGGTTGACCATGGAGCCTCCGCCCGAGGCGAAAGAGCCCTGCTGGGCGCCGCCGGCAAGCTGGCGGAGCCAGTTCTGGACCACCACAGTCTTTCCGGTCCCGGTTGCGCCGTTGATGAGGACGTGACCGCGGAGGACTGACGAGCCCGAGGCGAGAGGGCCGGAGCCGCCCTGCGGGACAAGAGCGTTGAGGAGGAACTGCATGCACACGGTCTCGGCGGTGGGCACGAGCATCTGCCAGAACGGCACCCCTGGGGTCCACGAGAACTCGGGGACGAGGTCGTCCCATGGGGCAAACGACTTGCGCTCCGGGTCGACAAAGTAGTGGTAGACGGTCTTGGTGCCTGGAATGGCGGCAACGTCGGCAAAGGCCTCCTGGACAAAGGCGTCAAAGCCCTCACGCGAGCCAGCGGCGAGGTTGCCACCGAGGCCCCACACAAAGGCAAAAACAAAGATGTCCTCGGCGAGCGAGACGGCGTCGGCAGAGTCGGCGTCGGGGTCAAAGCCGGCGTGCGGGGTGAGGAGGCCGGTGAGGAGCTTAACGACGCCAGCTACGAGCGAGGCGTCGCACGAGACAACCTCCTCGGTGCAGTATTGACGGATGTAGTCGAGACCAGGAGGAACGTGGGCAGCAAAGAGCTCGGCAAGGCGGTCCTTGACCTCCAGAGGAATGTGGGAGGTGGCCTGCGAGCGGAGCCAGGCGCGGACCGGCGGCTCCCAGCCGAGGTCAACAGGCTCAAGGTAGACCATACCGCAGCGCGAGACGGTGGCGGGCGAGGCCTTGGCAAGGTTGAGGACCTCGAAGAGAAGGCGGATGGACGGGGTGAGGTTGATGCGAGCCGAGTTGGGCAAGCACAGGAGCTTGTTGTCGTCGAGCACGGTGTTCATGTTCTCGATCCACTTGGAGTCGACAGGCCCGTCGAAGACGACCCATTGCAGCTTGGGAGGACTCGACTTGCCGCCCTGCGGGCTGTCGCTCGGTCCCGGAGCCGAGGCCTTGACGGCAGCTGAGACCATGTTGCCGATGAGGCCCGGGGTGTACTCGCGCGAGGTCAGGTCGACATGGCCGTAGAGCTCGTCCATGGTCACGGCCTTGGGGTTGAGCACGTACTTGGTGACACCGGTGTAGAGCGGCGAGGCTGACGAGGCGGGACGGGAGGCGAGATCATCAAGCGCGTCTGCGAGGACGTTGACGGCGACAGACTTGCCGCCGCCGGACTTGCCGACGACCATGACGCCGTGACGGACGCAGAGGGTCTCCCACAGCTGGCGGACCTTGACAATTTGCTTGTCGACGATCTCGAGGCCGCGGGCGAGGGCGGCCGACTCGACGGCAGAGACGAGGTCACCAAAGTCCTCGTCGGGGAGCTCGAGGCCCGGGAACAGGTCTGCGAGGATGCCCTGGAAGAGCGGAAGGTCCTCGGCAAGGAACTTGGGCACGTTAGAGTCGCGGAGGGCGCGGATGAGGACAACGTCCTCGTCGAGCTGCGGGTTGCTCCGCTTGAGGGTACCGGCCATGACGAGGACGGATTTGATGGCGCGCATGCCAAAGTCGTAGTGGTCCTGCTGGGAGAGCTGCTCGGAGCAGAGGCGATAGAGCTGGGTCATCTTGCGGGAGAGGACGGTGGCCGACTCAAAGCCCTCTGCGTAGAGCACGATTTCGGCAATCATGGCGTAGTCCGGGATCATCATGGCGACTGGGCGGAAAAGGGCGGCGAGGTTATCGGGCAGCTCTGTCCGGCCGGTGTACGACGGGTTCATGGTGATAAAGTAGGCGCAGCGATCGTTGAGCGAGATACGGCGGCCCTCAAATTCAAAGAGGCCGTCGGGCGAGGGCGCGACGCGGGCGCGCTGGATGGTGAGAATCTGGGTGGCGATGACGGAGAGGACCTCGACCTCAATGCGGTTAAACTCGTCAAAGCAACACCATGCGCCGGACTGGGCAAGGCCGGCAAAGTAGCGGCCCATCATGGCGACCTCGAGCGACTCTGAGCAGTTGAAGACAACACACTGGATGGCCAGCGCCTTGGCGAGGTCCTTGACGGTCTCGGTCTTGCCTGTGCCTGCCGGGCCTGCCGGCGAGCCACCCATGTTGAGCGCCATGGCGCCGGTGAGAGTGAGGTAGCAGCGGTCGGTGAGCGGTGTGATGACGAGTCGCGGCGAGCAGCCGAGGTACTCGTAGCCGTACTCAAAGCGGGCGTTGGTTTGCTCCATGAACAGCTCCTCGGCCTCCGAGTCCCAGTAGTAGCGAAGCTGCTTCTTCCAGAGGAAGGCCGAGTCATCGGCGACCTTTGCCGCCCAGAGCGAGGAGACGATGTCGCGCGAGTGGACTTCGATGGTGAGGAGCGAGCCGAGAGCCTTGCGCTGGAGCTTGGTCAGCTCGCCCTGGACGAGGAGGGCGAGCGCGGAGAGCTGCTTGAACGACTTTTCCTTGAGCCGGTTGAGGGCGTTGCGGGTGTTGTCTGCACGGAGCGAGGCCTCGACCTCGCGAGCCCAGAGGACTTGCGAGATGGCGAGAACGAGCTGTGCACAATGGTCAAAGATCCACTGCTCGCGCGGCTTTGCGGCGGCAAGGTAGTCGGTGAGCGCGTCACGGCCGCGCTTCTTGAGCGACGAGCGCATGGCCTCCTCGACTTTTGAGAGCCACGACTCGACGGCCTCGGAGCGGGTCTTGACGGAGCGGGTGAGGACAAGGCGCTCGCCCTCTGACGAGACGAGGGCGACAATGTCCATGGAGGAGCGGCCAGAGGGCTCGGGAGCGGAGAACTCGAGGGCAGCAACGTTGGAGAAGCACTTAAGGAGGTGCGGCTGGACAGCGGCTGGGTTCTTGGACTCTGCGAGAATTTCGAGGAGCTCGTCGTTGGACAGGAAATAGAAGCGCGGGAAGAAGGAGCGCTTGCCCTCGAGCTTGGACTCGAGCGAGGCTTGGACCTGCTCGAGAATGCGATTGTTTGCGCGGAGCTGCTCGAGCATGCCAGGCTCGAGGACGGCGTCGAGGCATCGCGGGCCGTCCTGGACGCGGCGCATGATGGCGTTCCACGAGCGGTGGACTTCGCGAAACATCTTCTCCTCTTCGTACAGCTGCTTGACGATTTCCGAGTTGGAGAAAATGGTCTCAAAGTACATCCACTGGGCCTGGCAGACGAGCCAGGCTTCGAGCGTCTCCTTGAACAGGCGGAGGTTGCGGTCCCAGGCCTCGGCCTCGGGCTTGATGGGCCCGACGTAGCGCGAGCCGAGGACGGTAGAGACAAGGATGAGCGAGTCCTCGAGGGCCTGAGCAATTTCCTCTGTGGAGCCGAGGATGTACATGTCGCGCGAGTCGCGGTAGCGGAGAACGATGAACTCTTCGTTGGCCCATGTGGACTGGACCTTCTCGAGCATCTCGGTGAGGTTGGCCTCGTTTGTGGCCTCGAGTGAGACTTGCTGGATACGGTCGGCAGCCTCGAGGACGTCAAGCATGAGGAGCGAGCCGAGAGTAAAGTCGTCGCCGCGGGCAATGATGCGGGCCGAGCCGAGCTTCTCCTGGATGTCCTCCCAGTGGCGGAGCTGGAGCGCCGAGTTGCGGAGGTTGACGATGATGGGGACAAAGATCTGGAAGTCGTCGACGAGGTCGCGGAGCTTGGGCACCACCGGGTTCGGTGGGAGGCCGCGCTCGAGTTTCATGCAGACCTTGACAAAGTGTTGCACCTTTGACGCGAGGGCGGCGGCGTCGATCGAGTCGAACGGGGTCGAGCGCCATGTCTCTTGCAGCCCCTCCCACTCTGCAAACGAGGACCAGAGCATCTCCTTGAGAGCCAGGTCAGACATGGTCTCTTCGAGCTCCTCAAACTTGGAGACCGGGACCTTGAAAGTCTTCTGGAAGCGAATGTACTTGGATGCCTGCTCCTTGAGGGCCTTGATGCGTGCAGTGAGAGTGGAGACGTAGTCGATCATTTCGGCGACGCCCGAGGCGTCTGAGAGGACGCGCTCGTGCTGGGCGAGGTGCTTGACGTCGAGGATGAGGTTGCGCAGCTCGGCGATCTTCTTCTCGAGCTGGGTGGCAAAGACCTGGATGTTCTTCTCGCGCTCCTCCTCGGCAAAGGCGATTTTGGCCTTGAGGGACTGGACGAGCGGGGCAAGGGTGCGGAAAGAGGCATACTCTTCGAGGTTGTGGATCTCTGGGCGGTAGCCGACAATGACACCATACATGGCCTTGACGAGGTCCTCCTCGTCCTCGAGCTCGTCCTGCTCGACGGTGAGGGTCTCGAGGTAGGCAAGCTTCTCGACAAAGTGCTCGACCTTGGTGGGGACGGCGTCGAGGCGGGCGTGCGCGGCGTTGAGGCGGGTGAGGAGAGCCGAGTTGCGGTCCGAGGCGAGGCGCGGGAGAAGATCCTCCAGCACAGCGAGGCACTTGGCCGGCGAGGGCGCAAACGAAGCCTTGAGCGCGGACGAGTCGATCTGGATGATGCCGACGGAGGAGGAGACCGGCATGAGACCCATGAGCGACATCTGGGCGCGGTAGCGGGTCATGGAGGCAGCGAACCACTGGAGCGGCGGGCCACGGGCCTCGACGAGCGAAATGTCCATGAGCTCTGCCGAGCGGTGGATGGTCCAGAACGGCTCAAAGACGGCGAGGTAGTCCGAGGCGGCGATGAACGACTTTGCGAGCGAGTCCTTGACGTGTGCGAGCAGGCGCTGGTACTTGGAGTCGCCCTCAAGGACTTCAAGGAGGACGGGCCCGTCACCAACTTCAGAGACGTCAAACTGCTCCGAGAGGGTGGGCGTGACGTAGCGGGCAAGGAACTCCTTGTTCTTGATCAGCTTGTGCTTTTCCATGTTGGAAAGAATGACGAGCTGGAAGTTGCGGATGATAGAGTCGATGGCGTCGTGGAAGGTACCGCGATCAGGGGCAAAGGCCAGCTCCGAGTACTTGAGCTCGAGGGCGATGCGGAAGAGCGGCGGACGCGGAGCGGCGGTGGCCTGGGTCACCATGGACGAGGCAGCAGCCGTGAGGTCACTGGCAGCGGCGGTGGCGGCGGCAGCGTCGAGGAGCGACGAGCGCTCGTCAAAGGCACCGTTGATCTCCTGCGGATCGAGCGACGAGCCAGGCTCGACACCGGTACCACCGGCGACAGACGAGACAAGCTTGGCCATAGAGGCGATGCGAGCACGGACGGCAGCCTGAGCACCGTCGTCGGGCATGACGGCCTGCAGCAGGTCCCACACGGTGTTGACCGCGAGCTGGTGGAGGGTGTCGATGATGAGGTAGTCGGCGAGCTTGATAAAGTTGGCCAGACGACGGCATTCGGTGCGCTTGGCAGCAAGGAACGTGTAAGACAGCGGGGCGACCGAGTCAGAGAGCGATGCGCGGCCGAGCGAGTCGCCGGGCGCCGGCCCGTCCGACGTCGACGAAGCTCCGAGGCGGGCGTCGAGCGAGGAGGCCTGGCCAGCAGAGGCATGCTGGGCACGGCCACCGGAGCGGCGCGACTGTTCCTCGTCAAATCCGGCACGCGAGAGCGCATACTCGCAGGCCTCGGCGACGGTGGCCTCGACGGCGGCGTTGAAGGTGGCCAGGCGTTCGAGGAGGTACTCGCGGTGTTCGTCCTGGAGCACGACAAACATCTCGAGAGTGAGGGTGGTGCCGGGCGCCATTCGGTGGAGGCGCTCCTGGGAGAGCTCATAGCAGAGCGAGCGGAGCTTGCGGAGCGCGTGGCCGAGGATGTCGTTGGCGATAAAGAGGTGCTGCGAGAGAATGGAGCGGCAGAGCGCCGACTTTTTGGACCAGACGTTGCCGCGCCACATGGTGTAGCTCTTCCACATGCGGTACTTGTCAAAGATGGGGATGCGCTTGATGCGCGAGTAGAGGAGGTACTCGCGGAGCCACTGGACAAGAGGGACAAACTCGGCGACGCCCTCGACAAAGTGGGTCACGCCCGACGACGAGAGTGTAAAGTAGTCACTCGAGTCGATGCCTGCGTGCGAGACAATGGCAACCTTGTACGGGTTGAACTCGGGCGAGCCCTTGCGGACCGGCTTGAGGTAGACAAACTCGAGCGAGTCGGGGTTCTTGAGCAAGTGCTCCACAAACCATAGCGGGTCCGACTTGTCCGCGTGCGGGAGTTCGTCACGGAGCTTGCGGAGGAGGAGCCCGGTCTCGGTTTGCTCCAGCACAACGTCCGCGAGCGACTTGGCGCCACCCTCATCGCCTGCGGCACTCTCTCCAACACCCGTACCACCAGCAGCAGTTACAAGAGAGCGCTGCTGCGGCGGCGATGACGAGAGCGCCGTAGCCTTTGTGGGATCGGGTGCAAATGAGACCTTTGACCGCCGCGAGGGGATGAGCCCGACCGAGCCACCCGCCAACGACGAAGTCCGCTGACCGGAGCGATACGCCTCGACCCGCTCTGCGCGGAGAATAGGCAGTGTGGAGGCCGGCGGCTTGACGGCAACATTGTTGGCGGCAGCATCGGTTGCAGTCTTGACCGCAGTGTTGACGGCAGCGTTGGCGTTGGCGGTGGCGGTGGCGGTGGCAGTGGCGCCCTCGCGACGGGAGAGCTTCCGTGTTTCGTAAGCCGGCGGGCGAGGAGCGAGGGCCTGGGTCACCCGAGCCGAGGAGAGCAGAGGCGGGAGCGTAGCCGGGCGACGCGAGGTGGAGGAAGAGCTAGACACAGCAGGGATTGCAGGTGTGGCGGTGGTGGTGTTGGTAGAGGTGGTGGTGGGGCGGACATAGAGGCGCGAGGTCAGGAGTGCAGGGTCGATGGTCCGGACCTTGAGGCCTCTGCGCGACCGGTGGAGGCCTGTGGTACGGGGCGCACCACGTTGGTCCATATGTGTGAGGGTGTGGGCGTTGTGGGGATGGGTGGGCGGAAGGGGTGTGGGGTGTGGGGGGTTGTGAGGGGTGGGAGAGGTGGTGTGTGGGGAGTGCTGTGTGGGAGGAGAGGGGGGAGGGGGGGGGGGGGGGGGGGAGTGCGAGGAGGCGGAGACAGCGGGTGTTTCAACGGCGCGCGGGAAGGAGAGTGGGGGGGTGGGTGGGGGGTGAGGGACAAAAATATTTTTAGGTTGAGACACGACGCGGGAGGTGGGAGGGTGACCTTCCAATGCCAATGCAAAGGTCTGTCTTTGGCTCGCTGCAGCGGCCACCACGGCTGCAGCGGCTGCCACGGCTGTACGGCAAGACACCGCACGTGACTGAGGAGACGGACGGGTGTAAGGGATGTCTGCGTCTGCACTGAGCAAGTTCGGGTGGGTGGAGAAGCGGGGCAAGGTGCGCAAGGCATGGAAGCGGCGGTGGTGCATGTTCCGGTCGGACGGGGCGCTGGTGTACTTCAAGACGAGCCAGGATGTGGCTGCGCCAGCATGGGCATCAGCACGTGGAGCTATTGGTCTGACTGGAGCGAGTGTGAGTGCGGTGGAGGCGGACAAGGATGGCAAGCATGGTCTGGCTATTGCTGTCTCTTCATCAAAGCGCATCTATGCTATTCGATGCTCATCCATGCCCGAGAGGGACTCGTGGCTAGCCGCCATCCAAGGCGCCATCGAGCTCGCTTCGGGGGCTGCCGATGGCGATGACGCCGACGGAAGGGATCTAGCTCCGGATGCAGAGTCTCGATTGTACTCGCCGGTGGTTTTCGACTCGTCCGGCGTCCATCATCCCTCGCTCCCTGACGAGGCCTTTGATCCGCACGGAGCGCAGAAAGAGGCGGCAGCACGCGGGCGCGGCGACGATCCCGTGCTTGCCGACGACACCTGGGACGCCATCCTCGACATGGCGTAGCGCGCGCTTGGCAGGTAGCGGGTTTGGTTTTAGTTCGGGTGCGCCGCGGGGTCGGTGTTGCCGTCAGCGCCGCCGGCAAGGAAGCCCTCGAGGTGGCGCGAGTACGCCGGGTAACCCTGGCCGGCACTGCCGTTGTCGTGGCTCGGGCCCTCGCGGTTCTCGGCCGGCGACTGCGCAGCGGCAGCCTGGTCGTAAGCGGCGAGGAGCGAGAAGACGTCCTCGATAGCGACGCCAGCCGCGTTTGCGGCGTCGTTGTCGGGCGCCGGGGCCTGGGTCTGAGTCTGAGCAGAGGGCTGAGCCGGCGGGCTGGTCTGCCGCTGCTGGTGAGCGACGGCGGTGGCCTGTGCCTGGAGCTGGGTGCGGGTCGCCTCCTCGTCGGCGAGCTGGTCGGTGAGCGAGAGGGTGATGAGGTGGGTGAAGAGCATGTCCTTGAGATCCTTGAGCACATCCTCCTCAAAGACGGCAATGTCCATACCAGAGTACCGCGCGAGGATGTCCGAGAACGCGGCAAACTCGTTGGTGTCGACGGGCCGGTTGAGCTTGGTGTACTTGAACTCGGCAAAGAGGCCCTCGAGGATCTGGCGGACGACGTCGTTAAACTTGCCGCCCGACTCGGGCATGGCCGCCAGCGCCTTGAACAGATTGCCAAACTCGGTGAGGAGCGCGTCGTTGATGTAGACGTCGACGTGGTAGTTGGTGAGGATGTGGTTCATCGTGGCCTCCATCGACGAGGTTGTCGACTCGTCGTCGCCGTCGCCGTCGCCGTCGCCACCGTCGTTGTCGCCCTCGGCGGGAGTCTGAGCTTCCTGCTCGACAGCTTCGTCCGCGGCCTCCTCGCCCGCAAACTCGCCGAGGTCCAGCCCAAGGGCGGCCGGGTCGATCCCGGCCGAGCGCGCCATGTCGACGATGGCCTGCTGCTGGGCAAGGAGGTCTGCGCGGCGGGCCTCGAGGGCGGCCTTGCGCGACTGGTGGTACTCGAGCTCGGCGCGGGCGGCGGCAAGCTCGTCCTCCATGGCGCGGGCCTGCGAGGTCGACGCCGTCGCCGAGTCGGCAGCCGAGAGCTCACCGGTGGCGTCGGGGCGCTGGGTCGGCGGCTCGGGCGTGATCGAGACGTGACGCTCTGCACGGGTCGCCTCGTAAAACCGGGCGTCTTCGGGCGACTCGCCCTCGTCCTCGGATGCGAGCGAAGGCTCGTCGTCGTTGACCGACTCGGCGTAGTCGTAGGCTGCAGCGGCGGGAGCAGCGGCGGCGGCGACGGGAGCAGCGGCGACGGGCCGCGAGGTCACCACCGCGCGTGGCGTGGTCGGCGAGTCGACAGCAAACTTGTTCGGCGAGTCCTGGACCGACTGAATAAAGTAGTTGATCTGGTCGAGGGCATGCATCTCCTCCATGATCTTGTTGCGAATGACAGTGGTGGTCGGGTCGTCGTCGACGGTGGCGGTGCCGCCGGCAGCCAGCGGAGCGTCAAAGGTGACGGTCCGCGGCGGACGCTCCTTCTTGGCCGGCGGCGGGGCCTTCTTGAGCTTGCGGGCTCGCTTGCGTGCGGTGCGGGTCTCGGCGGACCGCTCGCGGAGCTCATCATCGTCGGTCGGGTGCCGCTTGGCGCCGACCTTGGGCGCGTGCTCGTCGAGGTACGCGGCCTCGGCGGTGACATCGTGCAGGAGGCGGTCGAGCGAGGCGAGGACTCGGACCCGAAGGAGCGGCGTGTCAAACTGCGCGAGCAGGGTAAAGAGCTGCGAGACGTAGCTCGGGTCGTCTTCGACGCGGACAATAAACTGCACGGCAGCCTCGTAGACGGCCGAGTCGAGGCCGACTGAGGCCACCGACGACGCGCCATCGTCGCCATCGTCATGGCCGCCACTGTAGCTTCCGGCGCGCGCGAGCTCGGCGTTGAGCGTTGCGAGCAGGTCGGCAGTTCCGGCAGGGTGTGCCGAGTCGAGCGAGAGCACGTCTGGGGCCGCGGCGCCGGAGGGAACGCCGCTGGCGCGGGCGTCGGACCCATGCCCGGCCTCTGACTCGGACTCTTGCGAGTCGCTAAAGTAGCGGACAAAGTCCTTAAAGAACGCCTTTTGCTCGGCGCGCGACGAGAGCGACTTGGCGTACGAGACGGCAAGCTGCAGGTCCTGCAACTTGATGTTCGAGGCATACAGCTCGTCCTCAAGGAAGCGGGTTGAAAGCGAGTCGGCCTCGGAGACCGAACCGTCTTCGCCGGCAGCGTACGCGCCAAACACGTTGTCGCCCGACACGGCGGCAATGTCGTCGCGAGTTGCGCCGAGCATGTCGTACAGGCCGCCGATGCGGGCCTGGAGCGCCTCCATCTCGGCAGCCTGGGCCTCAAAGGCCGGGCCCGGCACCGGCGCGTGCGCCTGCTGAGCGGAGCGCGACGGCGAGTGCGATGCAGCGCGTGCGGGGCGCGGGGCTTCGGCCGGCGACGAGGCCGACGCCGACGCGGCAAACGAGGCCGAGAGCGCCTGCGGGGGCGTGGCCTTGCGTTGCTGCGTGTACTGAGACTGGAGCTGCGACCACTGGGCGGCGAGCTGGTCGAGGATGTTGACCGAGTTGCCGCCAGCGCTCGACTCGCGCTGGACGGTGGCAAGCAGGTTGTAGATGCCGTCTTCGTCAAGCTCTTCACGCGAGGCCTCGCGGCGCGGCGCAGGGGCCGCCGCCGCCGTCACTGGCGCGGTGCTCGCCTTGGCCGGCGACGCCTGCTGGTTCACCAGCTGCTCCTGCAGCCAGCGGAGGTTGAGCAAGTGGGCTTTGCGGAGCTCGGCGAGGTCTTCGACTGGCATGTTGGCGGCGTCCTCGGCCGTGAGTGGCTGCGAGGAGCTGCGGGCGAGCGGCGGGGCCTGCGACGAGGCGCGCGGCTTGGCCGGCGAGAAGATGTCGCGGCGGACGGCGGCGGACGGCGGCGGGGCCGAGGCCTGGCGCGGAGCCTTGGCCGGCGACGGTGAGGCCTGGCGCTGCTCGGCGGCGGCGGTTGCAGCGCGAAGCTCCTGCTGCGCGGCAATCTGCATGTCGCGCATGGCCTCGAGCTGCTGCTTCTCGGCCATCAGCGCCATGTACTGCTCATACAGCGCGTTGGCATCCTCGGGCTCGGCGTCGTCGTCGAACTCGGCGTCGTCGCCCTGCGCCTGCACCTGCGACTGCAGGGCGGCGAGGTAGGCAGCACCGGCATCGGCACCAGCGGATGCCCCAGCCTCGGCCTCAGCCTCGACCTCGGCTGCCGCCTCGATCGACGGCACAAGCGTCTCCAGGTAGTTGGCGACGAGTGAAATGGTCTGCTCGTCCTTGTTCGACTCGAGCAGCGACTGGAGCTGAGTAAGGTTGTTGCGGTGCTCTTGGAGCTGAGCCAGCTGGCTCTCCAGCGCATCCAACTCGCTTCGCTGCATCGACGACTGCTCGCCAAGCGCAGACATATGCGCCACCATAGCCTCGAGGCCCTCGAGGTCATCGGCTGTCGTGCCTGTGGCGCACCGCAGCAGGATCGAGCGAGACGCAGTGAGAGAGGCGAGAGAGCGAGAGAGCGAGATAGCGAGAGAGCGAGAGTGTGAGAGAGCACACGCGCGGAAAGTTGCATGGTGGTAGCAGTGGTGGTGGTGGTGGTGGCGGTGGTGGTGGTGGTGGTGGTGGTGGTGGCCGAGTGCGACATTTTTCGAAAGACGGGCGAAGGGCACAAGGCGACATGGCGGGAGGAGGGGAGGGGTTAGTTGGTGGAGGGGCGTGGGGGGGGGGGTAATGGGGGGAATGAATGGAGGGGGGAAGGGGATGAGGATGTGGGTATGGGGATGGAGAAGAACATTCGCACCTTGGAGTACGGCAGAGGGCGTGTTGTAAGCGCTACCAGGGCCAGTACGTCCGGCTGACCGTGGCGGGCTGTGTCGGCCTTGCGGGGTGTGGTACGAGGTCATTGGGGTAGATTCCAAGGTCATGCTGTGCGTACCTCCGGCGGCTGGACGACTCGCCTGCTGCCGACCAGGCGCAGATCCAGGTGGCGTTGCCACCATCTGAGAGATGCGCGGCGCTTGCGGCGTAAAGAACGTCCCCTGGCTCATGATGGGAGAGGAGTGGTGCCGTCGCCCTTTGCCTCCTCCTCGCTGTCTCCCGGCCGGGCGCCAACCGAGTCAGGACCGGCCCGGCGGGCACAGGCATCACTGATGACGGCCTGAAACGTGTTGATCTAGATGGAAGTTACTGACCACCTCCAGTAATCATCTCCCTATGCCGCGTAATGTGCACATCCGGTCTCTATCTCGCCAGCTGTGTGGCTGCAGAGCAAGGCCAAGTCGCACGCCCATCACCATGATGTGTCGTCTTGTGATTGTACCTTTGTTTGTTTGTATTTGTCATCGTTCATTCGTTCGTTCAGCATCATCGTTTATTCGTTCGTTCAATATTGTCGTTCGTTCAGCATCATCGTTCATTCGTTCGTTCAGTATCATAGTTCGTTCGTTCGTTCAATATCATCGCTCATTCGTTCGTTCGTTCGTTCGTTCTTTCATTCGTTCGTTCGTTCTTTCATTCGTTCGTTCGTTCGTTCGTTCAGCATCATCGCTCATTCGTTCGTTCAGTATCATCGCTCATTCGTTCGTTCGTTCGTTCGTTCGTTCGTTCGTTCGTTCGTTCGTTCGTTCGTTCGTTCGTTCAATGCCAATCACTCGTTGGTTTACTCAATCACTTCTTGAGCAATAATCGTCGTATTCTTGGACATCCCACTTCCTAACGCGTACGTAGCAAATCATACAAATTCAGCAGGGACGAAATCCCTCTGCCCACCCACCCTCTCCCACCGAGAGCATGCCACACTTCCAACCACAAAGAACTCCCTACGTGTGTAGATACAGTCATGCTCAACACTGTCATCTACTTTGTTTTCCTGGAAACACACACATGTTCTCTATAGCCCCTTGGAAAGTAGCCACCAACCCCCCCCTTCCTCGGTCTCCCCGACTGCTGTCATCACACACTTCCAAACCCTTCCTCCACCCCCTCCCCTACCCACCCCGCCCCACCCCCTCTACACCCTCTACCCACCTCCACCCTCTCCACCCCCCAGTACCACCCCCACTGCCACCCCCATCCCTCCACCCTCCACCCTCCACCCTCCACCCCACCCCACCCCCCACCCCCACCACTGTGTGTTTGTCGGTGTCATTTGATTGATTGTTTTCACCATCCACCCCCCCCCCCCCCCCCCCCCCCACCACACACATACTCACACAGAACACAGTCGTTTAGGTGCACCCGTCAAAAAAGGTCGTTTGAACCCTTCATCCATCCACACCTCATTTGAGCAACATGGCTTCTGCTGATCCCATTGAGATTTGCCTGCGCGTTACCGGCGGTGAGGTCGGTGCTGCTGCTGCCCTGGCCCCCAAGGTCGGTCCCCTCGGTCTGTCGCCCAAGCGCGTCGGTGAGGACATCGCCAAGGCCACCGGCGACTGGAAGGGTCTCCGCGTCACCGTCAAGCTGACCGTCATCAACCGCAAGGCCACCGTGTCTGTTGTTCCGTCGGCTGCCGCCCTTATCATCCGCGCCCTCGACGAGCCGATCCGTGACCGCAAGAAGGAGGAGATCAAGCACGATGGTGACCTCTCGCTCGATGCCATCATGGACATTGCCCGCCAGATGCGCCACCGCTCGCTCGCCCGCCAGTTCTCCGGCACTGTCAAGGAGATCCTCGGCACCGCCGTCTCTGTCGGCTGCACCGTTGACGGTGAGGACCCGCGTGACATCCAGGCCGCCATCGACTCTGGCGAGATCGAGATCCCCGAGGAGTAAGCTCCGGCTAGTGTCGGCGGTTGCCGCTCGCCTGTCGGCCCCGTCCAGGCGTTTGACTACGACTGCGCTCGGGTGTCCGGCTCGATGATGTAAACAGTTGGCATATTCTCAGTTTAGGTTGCACAGCATGGGCGCGATCACTGCCGCCGCGAGCGCGAGGTGCGGCGAGCGGGTGTGGAGCTCTTCGCGCGCTTGGATGCGCGCGGGTTGGCGGCTGTGGCGCCAGTCGCGGAACGCTTGCGCTTGCCGGGTGTGGGCGGTGCCGCGTCGAGCTCGATAAAGTACTTTGCGGCGTCGACGTTATTCTTGGAGCAGAGGAGATCGACAAAGTACGACTTGGAGACGAGCGGGATGCCGGCGTCAACGAGGCTGTAGAGGTGCGGGATGAGGTCGGGCGACTTGGTGGCGACGTCGGGAGCGACGATGGCGATCGAGGCAGCGCTGCGGGTGCGGGCTGAGACCGGGGTCGTGACAGCGAGGACCGAGCCGCCGCCGGCCTCGATGACCGAGCGCGGGAGGCAACCGCCGAGAATGATGACCGACATGCCAACAAACGGGCCGGGCTCGCCGTCCTGGCGATGCTTGCGCCAGTATGCCGGCGCGCCGCGCCAGATGCCTGAGGCGCGGACGACGGCGTTGCCGGCGTACTCGTAGTCGACAAAGTCGGTGAGGAGCTCTCCGGCGGAAACCGAGGCGGCAATGTACGACGGCTTGATCATCCACACACCGGCAGCAAGGCCGGAGAGGAACTTGGCGGTAGTGGCGATCTTGGGCAGGACAATGTGGGTGGCTGTTGCGTCGTAGTCATGGGTCGGCGGAATGACCGACGCGCCGAGCGCGGTGAGCTTGTTTGCCTGCGCCTGTTGCTCATCCGACGTGCCGCAGAGCAGAAAGCGCAGTTTGCACGCCGGGTCGACGACACCGACGCCTTGCGCTCCAGTAGCGACGGCGCGCGCTTGGCGTCGAGCGACGGCAGGGTGGAGAATGATGGAGGCGGCGGGTTGGTTGATGGCGAGGCGGCTCCTTCGGCCTTGGAGGATGCTTCGGTCTCCTCGCTCTTGGCGGGTGTCGCTTTCTTGGCCTTGGCGACCGCTGCAGCCTCCTTGGCCTTGGCGGCCGCTGCAGCCTCTTTCTTGGCCTTGGCGGCGGCTTCTTTCTTGGCCTTGGCGGCCGCTGCAGCCTCTTTCTTGGCCTTGGCGGCGGCTTCTTTCTTGGCCTTGGCGGCCGCTGCAGCCTCTTTCTTGGCCTTGGCGGCGGCTTCTTTCTTGGCCTTAGAGTCCGCTGCAGCCTCCTCCTTGGCCTTTGCGGCAGCCTCCTTCTTGGCCTTTGTGGCCGCTGCAGCCTCCTGCTTGGCCTTGGCAGCCGCTGCAGCCTCCTGCTTGGCCTTTGCGGCAGCCTCCTTCTTGGCCTTGGCAGCCGCTGCAGCCTCGGCGTCCTCCTTGGCCTTGGCAGCCGCTGCAGCCTCGGCCTCCTCCTTGGCCTTGACAGCCGCTGCAGCTTCGGCCTCCTCCTTGGCCTTGGCAGCCGCTGCAGCCTCGGCCTCCTCCTTGGCCTTGGCAGCCGCTGCAGCCTCGGCCTCCTCCTTGGCCTTGGCAGCCGCTGCAGCCTCGGCCTCCTCCTTGGCCTTGGCAGCCGCTGCAGCCTCTTCGTCAATCTCAGAGGCCGCTTCGCCACCCTCCTTTCTCTTTGCCACGACAGCCTCGGCAGCAAGCGCACCAGAAACAGTTCTGGTAGCAGCGCGCTGGTCGGCGCTAACCGGCCCGCTTGACGTCGGCTCGGTCGTCGAGTAGCCAGATGCCAGTGTCGGGTACGGGGCGAGTGAGAGCGCCGCGCGGACAGATGGCGGGCCCGTCGAGGCGGTGCCGTCAGCGGCCACATCCATTGGCTCCGGCATTGGCTCCGGCACCTCGGGCACAGCCGCGTCTGGATCCTCGTTCTCGACTTGCGACGAAAAGTTGCTAATGGTCTTTCGCTCAATGTCGTCAAGCACGCTCTGGTCGAGCGTCGTATACGGCGCCGTGTCGACGAGCGTCCAGCTAGAAAAGACCTTCTCGATCCAAAAGTGCGAGACGACTGTGACGCCCCAGCTGACGGCCGACGTGTACTTTTCGCCCACAGGCTCAGCCGCAATGAGATGCGTGTGGTCCGCCGAGAGCTCCGACGTGTACTTCGCCCCGATCGCCACGATCATGTCGCGGACGTCCTTGCGCAGGTCGCCGGCGTACCGTGTGATGGCAATCCGCAGATTGCCAGCGTTGGGAATGGCGTCGTGTGAGACAACAGGATAGTACAGCGGCTTAAGTGTGGGCGGCAGCATCTGCCATACCTGCGAGCAGTCGTGGACCCAGAACTTGGTCACAATCGTCAGGCCGTCCGCCACCGCGCGCTGGTACTCGGGTGACGACTGAGCCACACAGAGCAGGTGCGTTGCAGACGGCGAGTACTCGGCAAGCACCCGGGCACCCATCGTCTCCAGTGACTCGGCGTACGACGCACGCTCGGCCTCGTCGTCCTCTGTAAGGCAAAACGTCGTCCCCGCAAGCAGGAGCGTCACGTCGGAGAACGTCGAGTCGACCGAAAACAACGACGACGCCTGCGTTCCAGACTTGCCTGTCGACTGCGGTGTGAGCGTCATCGACGACGCCAGCTGCGACTGGATCATCCGCGCTAGCGAGAGCTTCTGCGAGTCGAGCAGCTCTGCCAGCGACGCCGCCACCACGTACCCGTGCAGCGGGAGAAGCGTGTGCGCCGCCACAGAGTCCAGCAGCCACTCAACCATCAGCATCGGTATGCCGTTCTCCTTGGCAAACTTGTACTTGGCACCCATCGGCCGGTGGATGAGCAGCACCTGCGTGTCCGCCGTCAGCATCCCATCGTATTGCCCGCCAAGCGCCTCTATCAGCTTGACCAGTCCCTGCCGCACTTTGCGTGGAACCTGCGAGGTGCAAAACTGGATGTTGTTCAGCATCAGCGCCAGCGACTGATTCGTCCCAGCCACCGTCGCGCCCTTGGCCACCTCGTTCTGCAGCGAGATCAGGAGCTCGCCCGCAGCAGCAGCATGATAGCTCGAGACTTTCAAATAGCGGTCGACCGAAGCAGCTTGACCCAGCGGTGGAAGCGATCCCGAGCGAACTGCCTCGATGACCCATGACGGCGAGACGAGCGCAATCGAGTCTTTGAGTGCCTGCGGAACAGAGTATGACTTGTCACTGGCTACCACATGGCTAACTGAAGGCGAGAGTGTTGCCGCCCACTCGCCGCCGCCCAGCACCACATACGCCCGGACAAGCTGGCTCACCGCCAGCGCATCGTCATTGCCAGGCCCAGCATGGCAGTGGAAGGTAAGTCCTTCAAACACATCCCGTCGGCCAGAGCTCATCTCCTTGCCAGAGGGAGAGGGAGTGTGTGAGGGGGGGGGTGGGGGGGGGGGTTGGGGGGGGGGGGAGGGCGAGAGAGAGAGAGAGAGAGAGAGAGAGAGCGT